ACATGGAGTACCATTCCATTTTATTTACTGTATCAGGATATTAATTTGTGGACCAGGAATTAACATGGAAAACTTGAACTATGTAAGAGGCAGACCTAACCGAAACACCCAACATGAGTTATTGGCCTTTAATTACTGAGGCAGTTACGATGCTGTAAATGAGTCCCTCTTTGATTGCAGCTGTAACCCATGCAGTTCTGAATTGAAGGGGTGATGATAGAAGATGGTAATATAACAGAAGAATGTCCATGAGTTGATTTTAATTGGTAAACTGGCTGTACATAGTGATAACTGTTTGGCTTGTCCACCACTTCGGAATCTAAGGAAAGGACATAAAATTACAGGAGCATATAATTGGTGTACTAAGCTCATTTTCTTATGTTATCACAGCTGGCATCTTCACATTATTAAAAGCATTTAAACCAGCCTTCTTCAAAGAGATCTAATTGTCAATATGGTCTTTATACATTATTCCTGTTAGCACAGAGCTGAAGAGAGATAAATAGGCACTAAAATACGCATACATTTTCTATATACAACTTTCTTATTTCAAGTTCATGGAAGATCGGTAAAACCATAGATACTGGTTTGTTTATTTGATACCCTGGGCAATCAACTCATAAAAACAATTTATTAACATTTAATTCAACTCAGGATTTAAAAATTGTTAATTCATTAGCTCTAGGAAGTTCTGTGATATTTTTGTGTATAAATGATTTCACAAAAATGACAGTTTTCCTGAAATATAAATTATATATCAGAATCAAGAAAAATAAGCCCAAATTTTGACATTCTTAGGTGAGCAATTTGATGTTTTACCCTTATTCTGGCCAGACACTCCAGGGATACTTTTTTTTTTTTTTTTTTGACAGGCAGAGTTAGACAGTGAGAGAGAGAGAGAGACAGAGAGAAAGGTCTTCCTTCCGTTGGTTCACCCTCCAATGGCTGCTGCGGCCAGCACACCGTGCTGATCCAAAGCCAGGAGCCAGGTGCTTCCTCCTGGTCTCCCACGCGAGTGCAAGGTCCAAGGACCTGGGCCATCCTCCACTGCCCTGCCGGGCCACAGCAGAGAGCTGGACTGGAAGAGGAGCACCCGGGACAGAATCCGGCGCCGCAACCGGGACTAGAACCTGGGGTGCCGGCGCCGCAGGTGGAGGATTAGCCTACTGAGCCGCGCAGCTAGCCAGGGATACTTTTAGAAAGTATACTCTAATCCTATTCCTACCCACCACCACACATCCACTGAGATTTTTCCCAACAGGAAAAATGGGGTTATCAGAACAAAACCAAACAAAAACCCAAATAAGACCCTCCCAACTCATCTTAGAATACAGAAAGAAATCAACCAGATATGAGGAAGAGTAAGGTGGTATTATCCTAGCATTAATGGTTAATTTTTCTGTTTAAAAATATATTTGAAAGGCCCAGAAAAAGAGGGATGAACAAAGAGAGGTTGTTCCCTCTACTGCTTCACTCCACAGGCTGAAGCCGGAGCACAGAACTCAATCCGAGTCTCCCATGTGAGTGGCAGGGATCCAAGTATTTGAGCCGTCCTGTGGTACCTCCCAGGGTGCACATTAGTGGGAAATGAATCAGAAGCAGGGCCAGGACTTAAACTCAGTTACTCTGATATGGGATGTGGGCATCCCAAGAGGTGTCTTAACACCAAACATCTGATCCCAGTATGAATAGCTATTAAAGAGTCCCTACATTTCTTTAGGCCATGCTGCCTAGGAGTACCAATGGTAGTAAATTAAGAGTAATTAATGGTACATATCACATTCTCCAATATCATAAGATCCCCACCTCTCCTACTTATTTATGGGGGTCCACAGGTATGCCTTAACTATCTTTAAAATACGACTACTCAGCCTGCTCTTTCAGCTTCTGCTGGTCATGCTGGTAGGAGAATGCCTTTCCTCTGGTCCATAGTGATACTTCCTTCCATTGGGCCGCTGACTTCAGCTGTGAGGAGCAGACACTCCAGCCTCTTGTGTTACCCGGAGCATTTAATGCTAATGCACTGAAACTCTACTTAAGTCCATGCCTTTTGTATCCACTCATGATCTCAGCTGAGAATATGAATCCATGGGAGGCAGAGGTAAGACACAAATCCAAGGGACAAATCTCATGTTGAACCTTGGAATCACCCAGATATTTGCTCAGAAGCCCTCTGAGTCCCTCGTGTAAGTAAACACATCTCGCAGGTCTCCCAGGCATTTCTGCACCCCAGATGTGGTGCAGCTTGTACTTCCACTATGGTCTGCATTATGTACATATATATTTGACCTCCAGAGTTTTTTCAGCACTAAATGATGAAAACAACTTCTGTCCTGATTCTGGCTTAATCTCCGAATCCTTGATTATATATTATATATTATACATATTGAGTATAACCCAATACACTGGGACTCAGCATCCTTTAACCTGTGAAATCTCATGGGTAATTATGATCCAGATTTCAAATCACCACACACATTAAAAATTCTTTTTCGTTTACTATCCGTGTTTAAAAAAATTACTGCAAGCAGGTAGCAGAGGATTACAATATAGTTGAATGCAAACATGATTTGTCTATATATATTGGTTAAAATGAAGCATTTATTCACTGGTATTTAGCTATAATGTTAGGAAACAGCCATCACACATACTCCAGTCTGGAATTTCAATAAATGTTTTTCACTGTCTATATGCAGGATTATTTTAAGCCCACTACATTTTAATGTTATTGCCACAGCTACAACAGACATCATCTACCAATTATGATAATGTTTTATTTACTTTATATACCAAGAAAAAGCCATTTGGTTAAAAGTATGTACTATATCTCAATTACATTCTAATATGATACTAGCTAATATCTTTTAGGTTAAAACCCAGAATAAATCAGTTAATAATCTTGATAAAATTTTAAGATGAAATAACCCTCCATTCTCAAATTTAAATAATTCATATTTTTAGATGTTGGTTGAGCTAACAATAGAAAAAACATAGCACATTCTAGGATAATGGGATTTTCCTTCCTCTAAGCAAAGAATTAAGCTTGTGTGTAGGTCAGTAACCTTCAGAAAGCAGACAGGAATAGAGTCTGGCATGTGATGGCTCTGGTTAGGCCACATTAAGCAGCTCTGGCAATCGCATTTACCATTGAGAGCTTTGCTATTTTTCTCCTCATCTACCCTTTCCCTTCCTTTTTTTTTTCTTACAGTTTATTAATTTATATTTATTTGAAAGGCAGAAAGACAAGAAGAGATTTTTCCATCCTCTGGCTTACTCCCCAAATGCCTGCAACAACCAGGGCTGGTAGAAACTCCCTTTGGTCTACCACATGGGTGACAGGAACCCAAGTACTTGGGCTGTCAGCAGCTGCCTCCCAGGTGCACTAGCAGGAAGCTGGATTGGAAACAGAGGTAGGACTGGATCTGAGACCTTCTGCTAGGGGATGCAAGCATCCCAAGTGGTGGCTCGACACGCTCTACCACAATGCTGGTCCCCAAATATTTCTTGAATGTTACTATATTCCTAGAACCAAAAGAGGCAGTAGAGATGGAGCAGTAAACAAAACATACTAAAAATCCTGCCCCAAGGGAGCGCACATTCTAGTTGATAGGCAGGATGTCAGCCTCCACAACACATGTGTTCTGACTGCTGGGGTTTGGGTTGCTCTTCTCCTTCCTCTGCTGTCAGCTGTCATCTCTGGCTAGCACCAAGTTGCTCCTTTTGATCTGGGTTACATGACAGGTCTTTTCCCTATGCATCTCTCTCTCAACAAAAATCCACGTCCCCAGAGCTGGCTCCCAAGCAGCTCATCACATGTCCATGGTGGATACGCTGCTTCTTGCCCTTCTGAGGAGTCCTCCTAGCCCTTCTCGATGTTTGGGATTTTCCTTTGTTGCCTTTCATTGTTCATGTGACTTAGTTTTCATGGCCTCATTCAATTATTAGGTTCAAAGGTTTCTATGCCTTTTTTCTCCCCCGGGAAACTGAATGCATTTACATGCAAATGAGATGCTTGGGAGAACAGCCACCACCGAGTGATATTATATACTAATATTACAATATAAAATATAATCCTTTTCTTTTTCCTGCTAATTCCCTGAATCTCTTTAGAAGCTTAAAAATGCAGCCACCAAAGCTTTCAAAAAGGAAGAAAATGTTTTCCTACTTTCCTGGTTTTTGACCATGGCTAAAAACTTCCTGATGGGGCCGGCGCCGCAGCTCACTAGGCTAATCCTCCGCGTAGCGGCGCCGGCACACCGGGTTCTAGTCCCGGTCGGGGCGCCGGATTCTGTCCCGGTTGCCCCTCTTCCAGGCCAGCCCTCTGCTGTGGCCAGGGAGTGCAGTGGAGGATGGCCCAAGTGCTTGGGCCCTGCACCCCATGGGAGACCAGGAAAAGCACCTGGCTCCTGGCTCCTGCCATCGGATCAGCGCGGTGCGCCGGCCGCAGCGCGCCGGCCGCGGCGGCCATTGGAGGGTGAACCAACGGCAAAGGAAGACCTTTCTCTCTGTCTCTCTCTCTCACTGTCCACTCTGCCTGTCAAATCTAATAGTAAAGTGACAAACCTTTCCTTGATGGAGATAGGGAGACAAGCAAGAATGCTGAAATGCAATTAAAAGAATGGTGGTGACCAAGGAGAAAAGGAATATCAAAAATTTATTCACACAGACTCATTGGATGTTGAAGCTTGGAGGGAGTCAGTCACCTTGAGTGCCAGTTAGAGATAAAACCCACACCAAAACCAGGTGTCTCAATTCTCACCAATTCACACATTTTTTTTTTCTGAAATCCTCCTGCGTATTTAACAAATGGGAAGAAATACTCATTTATTTGATCATAACAGGGCCACTGCCTCTTCCTCTCTAAAACTGAAATATCCAAATGCACCTTTGCCAACTCTCAATGACAATGACTAATTCTATAGAGGGAAGTCAAAAAAGGGCAGAGGGGCCAGGGCAACTCTAATTTTATGCACCAATAGGGCAAATATTTCTTTTCTTACCTTGAACTTGTCAACTTCAGCTTTTGAACATGTCGCATGGTATGATAGCACCTGATTCAGAAGAAAAGAAAAAGAACTTCAAAAACTAGACTTGATGATATTTTCTGAAATTCTACTGGCTTAAGAATAAGCTTTGCTTATGTATATGGCCTTGATACAATGGTGGATCTTAACATATGGCAAGAAATTTCTAATAGTCTATGACACAGATCATTTATTAACGGTTATTTTATATGCTTTTATATGTTTCTTTCTTTTCCTTTTTCCTCCTCCCTAGAACGTAGCTGTAAAGCTGTAAAAATCTGGTGTCTGTGAGGGGACAATCTGGGGTGTAAATGCAGCTGGGTGTGGATGGTAGAGCAGAAAGGGAAAGAGAAAGGCCCCCAACCTTGGGGCAAATAAATACATTTGCTTAAGCCAGTTAAGGCACACGTACACACATATGCACAGGCGTATTAATACCAGATCCATTCTTAATCTAGACAAATCTCAAACAAATAAGCTTAGGAAGTGCTAAATCCCTTTTCACCTACCAACCTCAGAGAGTCAGTTCAGCTCTGAAAGTAAAGTAACGTGTTTTATCATGTTAAAATCAGCATTTCCTATACCTAATTAGATTTGAACTCCCTTTTATGTAGACTAGTAATCTAGTAATGCATCACCTAATAACATATCGGCCAAGAACTTTAAGAAATGCTGACTTAGGACATGCACCAGCACTGTCCCTGGTGTTCGAACACAGTTTTTTGAGTTGGGCTGGCAGGGCTCCTGCCCTGCAGAGCCCTGGGAGTAATTTCCTTGGTCCTCATTTGTAAGATGGCATAATAACAGTAATCCACAGACACCTCACACAGTAATCTGTCCCTGAAAATCAGACGGTCCACTGAGACACTGATAGGAGGCCTGTTTTCCACAGTTTTAATCGGAAAAGATTATACTGCACTGGAAGATCGGCAACTTCCTAAAACTGAACTGAATTACAGGAAAAATTCATAAGTCTATATAAAACAAACATTATAGGTTAGGTTATAAATTGTTTATAACAATTTTATTATCATAATTAATATAATTGTTAACAAAACGTTTCTTTGAATTAAGTGATATCGTTTTCCATTTGTAAACACTTTCCTCATTGACTATTTTTTTCCATAGTTTTCTCAACAATTTTTTTTATCTTTGGAAAGGGACTCACAAAAATGTTGTACAAAGAGATAAGTATGTTCTTTGAGATTTGGTTGTTAAGAATGATGAGATTTTTCTACTTGGAAATGGGGATTTCTATAGGTTGGGTCTGTACTTAACAGAGTTCTTAGGAACATTAAATGCAATAAAACATGTTTAATACCTGGCACAAAAATAATCAACTTACACTTATTGTACTGATAGTCAATTAAAATTATATCATAAAAATATTTGGCAGAGTCTCATGTCATCATATTATTATATTCATTTTTCTTATTATTAAAAAGTATTTTCAATACAAACATAACTAAAAGGAGTTAAACTTTAATTTGGTAAACTTTAATTTGGCTGTCATATTCTTAGAATTTCTTACTGTTTACAAGTCTCTTTTTTCAGATCCAATATTCAAAATATATCTTTATTGTCCTTAAAACAAATTTGAAGAGTGATTCCTGGAGGCTGGGAGGGGTGGGTAGGGGTGATACAGTTTGGATAATGGCTATCCAATCAGAGTTATATTGAAGGAATAAGCTCCTGTTTTACAAGGCATAGTTGCATGACTATAGTTCAAAATAATCTATTATGTATTTTATGAGCATGTGCAGTAGGGGAGGTCCAGAGCTCTAATAATAAAGTAATGTCAAGGAAGAGGAAATGTTGTCTATCCTGATTAGACTAGTACACACTGTATACATGTATTGATTGTCACACTGTGGTCCATAATCACATATAGTTGGTGTTAGTAAAAAAAACACACCAACAAAATCTACCTAAATCATGCACCTCTTAAAAAATTCCACAAAAACTGAAGCTACAATTCAAAATCTCTGCCACCAGGTAAGGCTTAGCCAGGTTTCTAATATGTGAAGGACCCTTTGTCCCTCATTCTGCTCCCCCTGGTTTAATTCAACTTTTCCCATGTCCTTTATTATTTTAAAAAGCCATTAACTCTACTAAATTGAAATCAATTTGAATCAATGAAGCACGTAGTTATTATGGATTAAGACATTCTTCACATTCAAAATAAGTTTCTTTTGCTTATTACTAAGTTGTAGGAGTTCTTTGTATATTTTGGATTCAAGTCCTTTGACAAATGTCTATTTCATAAATACTACATCCCAGTTTGTAGCTTGCTTATATTTCATCTTTTAACGTATCTTAACAAACAGAGGTTTTAAGTTTGATGAAATATTTGCCATTTTTAAAAAAGATTTATTTATTTGAAAGGCAGGGTTACAAAGAGAGAGAGAGAGAGAGAGAGACCTTGCATCCACTGGATCACTCCCCAGATGACTGCAATGGACGGGGGTCCAATCTGAAGCCAGGATCCAGGAGCTTCTTTTGAGTCTCCTACATGGGTGGCAGGGGCTCAAGGACCTGGACGATCTTGCCCCTTCCGCTGCTTTCCCAGGCAGATCAGCAGGGAGATGGATCAGAAGTGGAGCAGTTGGGACTCAAACTGGGACCCATAGGCGTGCCAGTGTCGCAGGAGGCAGCTTTATCCACTATCCCAAAACGCTGGCCCCTAATTTGTCAATTTTTAAAATTGCTTTTGCTTCATGTACCATTTCTATGAAATTTTCCCTATCTCCAAATTATAAATACATATCTTATGCTGTTTTCTAGAAGATTGAAATCTGAAAGTTTTCTCTTTTGTTTTTAAGTGTATGATTAGTCAGAAATTAAATCCATATATATAGTGTAAGATTAAGGCCTAATGAAAACAAATGCCTTGGTTGCTTTTGATTTCTATAGCTTGGAGTCAAAGCCCTGGGGAGTTTATCCTGAGGATTTAAGCCTCTCTGCTGCCTCATTTATTCAGTGTTTAGGAATCTATTCATCCTATCTAACTATACAAAGTTAATGTTAAAGGAGTTTTGATTTTGTCTTTTAAAAATGACTTATTTAGTTGAAAGACAGACAGATCTGGGTCCTGGTGGGGGAGACAGAGAGATCTCCCATCTGGTGGTTCACTACCCAAATGCCCCCAAGTGCCAGGATTGCACTAGGCCAAAGTCAAGAGTCAGAAACTAAATCCAGGTGTCCCAGGTGCATGGCAGGAACCTAACTACCTGAAATGCCTCGGAAGGTGTGCATTAGCAGGATGCTGGAATTGGAAGCAGAGCTGGGACTTGAACCCAGGCACTCTGATATAGGATATACATTTCCAAGTGGTATCTTAACTGCTACGCCAAATACCCATCCCTGGTTTTAGTGTTTGAATTTTCTTCTGTGAGTTCCTGTTTCTTTTTTGTAGGACTCAGAACCAGGAAGGGAGCAGGGAGTAGAAGTGTGGCCTGGCTGAATAATCTCTGGATCACTAGCCTCATGGGGATGAGGACAGATGAGTCATCACCAGCTAATAAGAGTACATTGTTCTGCAGGAATGTGCCCTTTTGGAAAATCACAGTCTGGGAGGATGGTAGCACTGTCCCCTCAAAGAATAGCTGGAAAAATGAATATGCTTGAGGAGCAGATTCCTTAAGACAAGGAGATCTCTGACTCTTGCTAAATAATACTTTAATTTTCTCTTCCCAGGCATTTCTTGGTCCTAAAGCATTTCCTAAGATGCATTCAGCAAGGTGATGGTGCCTTACTGCCCCAGTTTACCTCCAGCGTTTGCTTTATTCACAGAGCACAACCATGAGAACCTGGTAACATCTGTACTCCTTTCATGCTATCAAATTAGCCACTGTGCGATTCTGACTAGATATAAATATGCATTAGTGATTTTGCTTTGTGCCCAGCTTCTTCTTGTTGAAAAGACTGATCAAATGTGATTGCTCACTAATTTTAACAAGCTCCTACACATGCTATTGAGGTCACACAGGACTTCATCATTGATCATGTCCTCTTTACTATTCAATCTTGATCATTTTTGGTTCTGCTCTCATCATTCCACTGAAACAGCTTATGTCAAGGTTCTTTTTCTTTTTTACAAAATCCAGTGACAAATCTGCAATGCCTTTTGTAGCAAAACTGAACCAAGTGGACTGCTCCTCCTGTTTTGACAAGTTCTTCACTTGGCTTTCATGGCTCCATACTTGCTATGGTTTGGATGTGGTTTGTTCCTCCCCAGAGGTTCATGTGTTGGAAGCTGGGCCCCGAGTGTGGCATATTTGGAGGTACTGGAACTTCTTTTATGTTTTTTTTACAGGCAGAGTTAGACAGTGAGAGAGAGAGAGAGAGAGAGAGAGGGGGAAAGGTCTTCCTTCCGTTGGTTCACCCCCCAAATGGCTGCTACGGCCGGCGCACTGCACCGATTCGAAGCCAAGAGCCAGGTGCTTCCTCCTGGTCTCCCATGCAGGTGGAGGGCCCACGCACTTGGGTCATCCTCCACTGCCTTCCCGGGCCACAGCAGAGAGCTGGACTGGAAGAGGAGCAACCAGGACAGAATCTGGCGCCCCAACCGGGACTAGAACCTGGGGTGCCAGCGCCGCAGGTGGAGGATTAGGCCAGTGAGCCGCAGCACCGGCCAGTACTGGAGCTTTTAAGAGGTGGGGTCTAGTGGAAGGTAATTAGGACATGGGGGAATTGCCTTTGGAAGGGATTAATGTAGATATTGTGAGACTGGATTAGTTCTAGTGAAAATGGATTGTTCTAAGGGAACCTGGTACATATCCCAAGTCTTTCTTCCGCACTTGACACTAGCCCCTTCAGCAATGCTCTCCCGTCATCATGATGTCATCTCTGTGTGGTAATATAGCCAGCAGGTCTTCATTACAGCCAAGAAGATGCCCACTAAATGCTGTTCAACTATGTGCTAAATGAACCTTTTTTTCTTTATAAAATTATCAGCCTCAGATATATCATTTCATAATACCAACACTATTTTGCTTCTTACCCTATTTCTCTGGCTATTCTTTACC